ATCAGGGTCAAAAGATCTTGAAACAATATTATCGTTTATCGCAATATTTTTTTAGACAATTAATTGCTCAGCAAAATTTGTTATCGTGTCAGGCCTACATAAGACCGATAAGTTACGCACTCTGGCAAGCTGGTCTTAATGGAAGAGTGGTGGGAAGGAAGCTATTAATGAGGGCAAGCCTGAAGAGGTGTTGATCCAGTCTGCTATAAGCCATGAAGGGAACACAGCAAATATCTTACAGTGAAATGTAGCAGCAGCGTTGAGCGTATGACAAAAACAGATGAATAAATACAAGTTCGCGGCTACAAAAGACTTGAGAGAGGATCACCCTACTGAAGAGATAAAAGCCCTAAACGTTGCTAAGAACAACGGACAAAATTTTCAGGATGTAGATGTGTGTTTCATTGAAAAAATATTTTGGAAATACTTGTAAATTTGTGGCTGTAATGTAACAAAATGTGTAACTTCTGCATAACTGTACTGTATGTACACGTTGCTTGTTTAGGCAGATGCATTGTACAAGGTATGCCAAAAGGGGGCAGTGTTGCACCAGTTAAGTCAGGAACCATCAGACATGACGGGGAAAAAACCCACAAATCACAGCTTTGCTTTCAGCCGCAGTTATGAAACAACTTTCAGCTTTAAATGTTTACTGATAACAAATATTTACGTTCATTTCCTAATGCGTTCTTTGTCATTGATAACTACTTACAAAGCCAGTGATGTGTGACCATTTTATAAAAGAAAAACTATTTACTAGACAAAAAAAAAAAAAAAAAAAAACAACCTTCGTCCATCGTATTTTCCTTGGGAGATTCAGTCTGAAGATCTCTTTCTGTTTGCACTGAAGAAATTCACCCGTTTCCTTTGTAGCCAAAATCTCTTCACTTGGATCAGGGCAGTTTGACCCGGACACTAAAACTCTAAATCGTCTTTTTGATGGTTTCGTTTTATTCCTACAGAAAAAGAAAAAGAAAAAAAAAACACTTAAAATACTCCAGAGAAAAGCTTAATATATAGTCTGTAGAGCTTATTTCTTATAGGATTTTCACGACAGTACAGGATAAACGTAAAGACATATATGTGCAGGATGTTGTCTGACCTTTTTTCACAGATGTAGCTTCCACTATGAGTCATCTGCACGGGTAGAAACCACAGCGACCCGTTTCTGACCTCCACCCCAGCGGGGAGGCTCTCATCGCCCCCGTCTCTTCTGCTCCACTTTATCTCGGAATGAGCGCCAGCAATCGGGCAACTCAGCAGAAACAAGTGACCAGCACTCACGTGGTAGGTGTCTGCTTCCCCCTGGTGGTCTGAAAGAGGCATTGCACAGAAAAAAAAGTCAAAGGTCACCGAGTGCTGCCTGAATAATAATAATAAATAATAATAATAATAATAATAATAATAATAATAATAATAATAATAATAATAATTCGAGCTGATTGTGACCGTTTTTGTATTAAGGGTCCAGTAACATCTTCACTGTATTTTTTTAAATTTATTTTACAAAATTTACAGCAGGTAAAGTGTTCAAATAAGCCCGAATCTGTTGCAAAATCAATCAAAAGAGGAGCATGAAAATAGCTCTGAAAATGCAACATAAGCTACTAAAATGCCACTTTATTCCATCCGTAAATATGCAATACTTGATTAAGCAACACAAGCAGAGAGCTTCCAGGTCCTGGATTAAGTGTAAACCTGCCATGAAATGTCAACTGTCCAGAACATCATATAGTCAATGTGGCACTGTTTACTTTAACACGAAATGTCATGTTTCCAAAATGGATGAAAAATTACAAAATGACATACAGAGGAAAAACAAACATATTATTCATGGCCACTTTTCTATGGGGAACTTTATTGTTTTTGCTGCCCAGAAATGACAGCAAAGCAATGTCCAAATCTGACAAACACAATCTCTGACAAAAGGCACAAAAGCAAAAAAAAAAAAAGAAAGAAAACATACAAAAAAGAAAGAGAAAATGACCAAACAACTCACAAAGAAGCGCAGATGACCCATATTAAACAGATAAAGAAGAAATTGCGCAACAAATGTAAAAGTGTTTTTTTCCCCCATTAACTATTGGGCTTTATGTTTACTGTGAATCTCTTTCGGAAGTTGCAGAATTGTAGAGTCTGACTAGTGACCAAAACAAACACAAAAAAACTGCAATCAGACAAAAGCAATTTGCATCCTACATTTATCTGACACGTTAAACATAGAAAGTCTAACTGTCATTGTTAAAACGAGACCTGGGAAAATACATTTTTGATGCAACATCCTGAACAACTACCAAATGCAGGAGAAAATGTGAGAAATAAATAGACTTTAATGATCTGTTGTGCACTCTACAGTTAATTCTTTGTGATTTTGGTACAGCTGTAGACCTGCTGAGTCTCTCCAATTATATGTTAACACTTCTAAGTTCATTTAGTTTGCAGACACCTACACATGCATACTGCACTCATGTACAACTTTAAACTTCTCATCTGACTGATTGTAACCCTTTTGTTGCATCCTCTTGATTGCATAACTCTGTACGTGACCTGCAGATGTTCTCAAAACAGCAAGAAAAAAAACCCTGTTATAACACCAACACAACACGTTGCACTGCAGCGACCGACTGCTGAAACCAAGCAGACATTGTGTAGCAAAAAGAGTGCGCATTACTCAGATCTGATCATAATATTAATATGAACTGATCATGTCATGTTTTGTTGAAGTTATGCAGAGAGGCAGAGGTCGAGTGGATGCTGAAGGTTTTAATTGTAAAGTGATGATTATACAAAACTTAAAAGCAGCCAGATGAACCACCAGCAGGAAAAAAACAGGAAGTGGGAAAATGAGGCGCATACTGGAGGAATTTAATGGAAGAATCCAGCAAGGAGTGACTGAGAATGTGCATGTATATATACAGTATATATATATTAATTACTGAACAAGGAAGAGATGGCTGATTAGAAACGGGTTGCAGGTGCAAGAGGAGAGAGAGAGAGAAGGTGGCACAGGGGGCGAGGGAGAGCACACAAACTGGGTAACTAATCAAACCGTAACAAAAAGCCAGAAATAAGCAACATAGTAAAACTAAAGTAACTAAAGGACTGAACTAAGGCAAATCAGAAGCTGATCTAACACTACAGAATAACTAAACATAGTTAAACTGGAGTAACTAGGAAAGAAGTGCAGCAAAGGAAAATCGAAACACGGCGGATCTAATGAAAGAATAGAAACTAAAGAAGACAGAAATGATGAACGAACCCAAAAACAATTCAGACCCTCACAAACAATTTCTTAAATTGTCCTACACTCCCATCCTCCTTTATGAAAGCAAGTCAAACATGTTTTATTCTGGATTTTTGATTTTTTTTTACATTAACTTTGCTGCCTAATAATATTTACAAGAGCTGCCAACAAAGCTACATGATTTCTTGTCTTATTTATTTATATTGTAAATTAGAAATCATATGTAATGAACATAGTAAGTCATAGCTGCCCACTTATTCTTTACATTTCCTCAAACGTATGCGCTTCTGTTGCAGTGCTATTAATTTTTCTGTTTGTTATACGTTGGATCATATTATTATCACTTTTCCTTGACTGTTTCCGGACCAGGAAACGTTACTTCATTTTCACCATTTTTGGCTGCAAACTACAGAGAGCTCTACTCATCTGACCGTCTTAAACAGAACTGTTTGTTTGGGAAAATGTTTTTTTTTTTTTTGCACAACTTATGCAAAGCTGCCTTTTGTCACAGCACAGTCTTCCTGTGTGAACAATCTCCATTTATTCGCGCCGTGCTGACGTCTTTCTTGCTTCCTGTAGAGCGCCAGGAGGGCGATTCTGAAGTCTGCGCCTCATTTGCTCATCGGTGGAGGCAGCATGAGAGAACTGGTTGATTCAGTATAGATTTTAATGTTTAATGAGTTTAAAACAAAAGAAAAAAAGAAGAAATCAATTGAAGGTGGATGGAACATTCACATCACAGTTTATGAGTTAAGTCTCAATATGTTGACACCTTTGCAGGAAGGTGTTTCTAATGGACTGAGAGTTTGGCAGCAGGTGCAACACTTGTGTGGGTGGGTGTGGGGCCAAGTGATGTAAGAAATGATATTATACTAGTGGAAATGACACACAGAAATTGATGTGGCTTTAACCCCTCACCAAAGAACTCACTCACCAGTGTAAGAATATGCTTCTTTTTTTTTTCTGGGATCCCAAGTATTAGTACAAACGCAATTGTTTATTATTACGACGTAAATCATACTAACGTCTAGAAAAGCCACAGAGGCTACGTCATTGGCACTTGTTGCCTGAATGTCACCTTGCCGATCCGCAGCTCCTGACTCAACAAACACAACAAAACACCCACATCCTCGACAAAGCTGGTATAACCTGAATACATGTATAACCGCTGATCTGGTTAGATAGGTTGATGCATCGATTAGTTTTGAAGCATCTTGCTAAAATGATCTGTTGTGACTATAGAATAACTTAGTTAGGGTTTGAAGAATGGTTTTAAACTACGGGGGTTTCTAACTCCAAGAAAACAAGTTAAAAATGTTTTTTTGTTTGTTTGTTTTATTTTAACAGCTACAGTAAAGGCCTTTATGAATCCCATAACGTGTTTCAAGTGGGTCGAATGTGAAACCATTCAGTTAAATTCTGAACAACCAATGGATGTAAAATTTTGAACTGGAGACGGTAAGGCACAAAAACCACCAACGTAGTCCTACAATTCAACTCCAGTTTGTCCATCACTAAGTTCAGGGTCACTTTCCATTCAAGGTGGAGCAATAAAGAAAGAAAAAAAAAAACTCCTTTGGGGTTTAGTTTTGGTCCACCTCAAGTCATCCCTCCCTCCCAGATCAACCATATCAAAAACCCACCAATGTTCAACACATTTTGTTTTGTTTTGTGTGTATTTACTATGAAATACTGCAGAAATGTCAGAAACCTATCAAAATATGAAATATGCAATGGGGACTCATTATTAGATTTTGATATGCTCTAGATATTGCACACAATTATTTTTTTGTTATTTTCCAGAAAGCATAACTTTTAAGTTAAAAGTGTTCGCACCCCTCATAAAACGCCACCAATAAATGCCTTCCACTTTACATTCACATAAAAGTGTCCCATAAAATTTAACTGGAAAACATCTGAGATGGAAAAAAAGATAAATGAATAATGTGCAATAACCTGATTGTTGTCAGTTAATGTTCACATCTTTAAATGAAGCACTTAGATAAAGACTTATTGAGTTTCAGCTTGTAGTCTCAGTAAGTGAAACCCCAGTTTGGATTTGCCAAGTGAGCTTTAGTTTTGCACTTTGGCCATGCCACAACTTTCATTTTCCTCTTGTGAGCTCAGACTTTTGTTGACCTTTACTGAGCTCATGACGTTTCTTTACAATCGAATCACTCTCCTGGTAGAAACCATGTTCTTTTTGTCACTTCTTTGACAAAAAGAACATGATTCTACGAAGCAGCCTGTTTCACGTTGCATCAAATCCTACAGACCACGACACGTCCGTCCACATGGATTTGGAGGATATTTTTCTGTCTTGTTTGGAAAGTGTGGATTGAGATTTTAAGTCATTGTTCTTATTCCAGACATGGAGAATAATAGGGTTATTGTCACACAGTCAGCTCTTTAGAGTTGCTTTCATTTTCTTTGCAGCTTCACTCAACAGTTTGTCTGTTTCTCGAAACCTTTAAGTTTACCACATGTTGCCTTGTTTCTTCTACAACTTGTTGATATCGTAGATGACTGTGTTTATTGTGCCATTTCACAAATATAAAGCCCTTTTTTATTTTTTTTTCCAAACTTATACATATGTACACTGAGATCCATTGGAGCTGTTACCAAACGCATGTAATCAATGACTTCAGCTAAAACAAATTTTGAAATTAGCAAAAGATATGAAATTCAGACAAAATGTTATTTCTGCTTGACTATGCTTATTAATTTACGTTAAGCATAAGAATGAGTGCTGAAATGAATAAGTCTGAGCAGGATTGGTTTAAAAGTGTCCGTTTCCACTCCTGAAGGTTTTCTACGTGTTTCAGTTGAACTGAACGGTGAGTCACATTAAAAGCAGAAAAAGGATTTCAAAAACTATTTATGTTTAATTTTTCAAAACAGGGAACACTTTTCTCAAGTGTGTTTTTTTTCTATGTGCAGAGAAAACGACCTGAAAATGAACAGATTGTCATTGGAGAGCAGCAGGAGAAAGTAGCAGAGTGACAAAACGTCCTCAACATGTCCTGCAGCGGCCTGAGCCTTTAGCTGTTAGCTACTGAGATAAATCAGGATAACACCAGTTAGAGGAAAGTGGGCAACACTTTATTTGAAGGGGGTTGAATAAGACTGTCATGACACTGTCATAAACATGACATAACACCTGTCATGAACATGAATAAGCCTTCATGAATATTTATGACTGTTGTCATAAAGCGTCATTGGTAAATTATGACACTTTTAATACAAAGTTGACATTATTCAAAAGGTCTTTATTATGACAACTTGACATTAAACAAGAAATCATTACTGATATAAATTTGTTATAAAAGTATTACTGATTGCACTTTAAAAATTAGGTAACTTTATGTTATTAAAGGTAAAGTTTAAACAGTAATGAGTAGTTTTAACCCTCATCTAAAGAGCATGGACAGAAACGTCAAGCTGTTTACATAGTGGAGGAATCTGATAACTCTGATTCTACTTTTTAAAAGTCTAAGAACAGATAAACCGGCCGTCTAAAAGCGATGTGCTCTGTTATCAGAATCAGCTTTATTGGCCAAATCACACAAACCAATAATTTGACTTAACTCTGAATGTTCGTGTATAGTGGGAAATTAAAAAAAGAATAATTTTAATATAAATATGAATAGTCACAGTGTTTCCACATGAGGTAGAATTAGTGTAGAAACGCATAGTGTTGGTTGCGATCCACCCTGATTCACTTTCATCCTTTAACGCCTTAATGATTAACTAGAGCTGATGATTCTTGGGGCTCTACTGAGATTTAAAGAAAAAAACAACATATTTTGTTCTCTAAAAGTTAATTTTTTAAAAACTACGTTCTTCTGATAAACTCACTTGCTGAAGATCCGATTTGTTGAAATAACATAAAAATTTTAATTTGAGGAAGAGATTTCTGAATGACCTGTTTAACTGGTTTAGAAGAAACCACAGATGTTGTTTTTCTCGCATGAAACCTTTCTGTCTTCCTGAGACTTTTAGTCTTTTATGATTAAAACTTGTACTGCTGGTTTATTATTTAGCCAACAAAACCATCTTCGATGTTTTAAGTCTCTAACAGTTTTGACATTTTGCTCTTTGTAATCATCTATAAAAAAAAAACAACTATTGTTTTCTTCCAACCTCTACTGAAACTGAAATCAGTTAGATTTCACAGAATCAGCGAATCCTTTGATCCAAACAACTGCGTTACATTTTACCACATTTTAGCTCTACAGAGACACAGCCTGGCTCTACAAGTCACCCCAGTGTCAAAAGCCATTGTCTTAGTGTGAATGATCCCCCCGGTGGTGTGGTGATCGGTACTCACTGTGATCCTCAGCCAACGCCAGAGACAGGAGTCCAGTTAGGAAGCAGATCCAGCCGCCGGCTGCCATTGTTCTCGCCTGCGGGAGCGTAACAGGTCAGATTCATTAAACTCCTGCCCGTCTCCTCCGACGGGGCTCATTTTCTGAGCCAACTTGTCACTCCAGTCTGCAATTGGACAATGCTTCTTAACACATTTCCTGGCAAGGTCATTCAGACACCCACTGCTGTTGTTAGGGAAGTGAGAGATTTTGGTTGCGCAGATCGCACAAGGAAGTCAGAGCTGAAACACTCCCAGTAAAAAAGTCCAAGGAAGTTCCACACACTGGCTTTTCTATTTGGAAAAGTTATGAAAAAGACCAACAAAAAACCTGACTGTCATAAAAAAAAAAAAAAAAAAAAAAAAAAACAAGGGTGACTGTCTTTAAATGAGCAGCAGAATGTGAAAGAAGTTGCTTCTACTTTTAAGTTCTAACTTACCAATTTAAATGTAGACAAACTTCTGGTTACTTGCACCAGTCCTGATCTCTGGGCTGCTGGGTTTTCCATGCTGCTGCATTTGGTGTTTCGTATCATAACCCCTACTTGAAGTTTCCTCTCAGCTTAGAAAAAACACAAACACCCCACACTCTGCAGTACAGGTGAAGTGTAATGATTCACTGAGAGCCAAGCAGGGTTTTGGTTGTATGCAAATGTAGATGTAGGTCATTTGACCTCAAAGTTCACATATGAAGTTTTAGAAAGTGTATGCCGTAACAAACAAGAACTAATGAACCAGTTGAACCAGTTGGTTAAGAAAGAAGGTTGTCTCTCAAACCTGTGATTTGTCGGTCTAAACATGAGGACTTTGAACTGCCTTGTTTTTTAATGTGCAAATCTAATTTCCTTTATTTGTCAGTGAATCACAGATAAACAGCGTCTTAGTAGGTCATCTCTCGTACACATTTTTGCTACATTGTGAAAATGCCTTTTTCCCAGCACTGCACAGCCTCTTTCTGTCTTCCCTTTGTACTTCTGTCCTTCCCTCATCCTCCTTGCTACTTTCACAGTAGTCTTCAACTTTACTTTCTTCTCTTTCATCATCCTCTTTTGTCTCGCTTTGCCAAAAGGTGAACGGACCAAACACACGTGAAATGGACACGGGAAACGTTGACGTGTTATGATTGATTCAGTTCAGTCTGATTTGCTTCAGTTATTATTTGTTAATGCTCATATAGTAAAATGCTACCTATATCTGTTTGCTGTTCAATAAACCACTAGGTAGATTATGCCTGGGGTCTGCCAGATAGTCCAATCTCAGATTCAGGAGGAGCTGTGTGGTTTTTGTCCTCTTGGTGGAAAACTCTACCAGCTCTACATCCTCAGCAGGTTTCTGGGAGTTATGGACTTGGGGAAGGTTTTTGACCGTGTCTCTCTGGGAATCCTGTGGGCGATTTACGGGGAGGATGGGGTACCAGGCCCTTTGATACAGAATGTTAGGTCCCAGTACGATCAGTGTCAGAACTTTGGACTGCTTTGGCACCAATAAGTCGAGCTAATTTCCGGCAAGAAAATTAGCCCGGCTCCATCTAGGTTGTCTTTTGTCTCTGATTTTGTTCATAACCTCTTTGGTCAAAATTTCTAGGCACAGCCACGGTGTTGAGGGGAAAGTTTTGGTGTCTCTGACTTTTGCAGATGCTGTGTTCATGAGATTGTGATCTGTGGCTTTCGCTGGAGCAATATGAAGCTGATTGAGGTGGCTGGGATGAGGACCAGTGCCTCCAAGCCTGAGACAATGGTTTTGAGCCGGAAAAGGTTAGAGGGTCTTCTCCAGATCAGGGAAGGGATCTGCTGTCCCCAGAGGAGAAGTTTTAGTATCTCAGGGTATTGTTCACGAATGAGAGAAAAACAGAGCAGGAGGTCAATAAGAGGTTTGGTGACGAGTCTGATGTGGGCGCTGTACCGGTGAAGAGACAGCTGAGTCAAATGGCAACGCGGTCGATCTACATTCATATCCTCATCTATGGTCACAAGCTATGGACCTAAAAAACAGGATCACGGATACGAGCGTGTGAAATAAGTTTTCTCAAAAGGGTGTCTGGACATAGGGTGAGTAGCTCGGTCATCCAGGAGGAACTGCTTCTCCTCATCAAGAGAAGCCAGTTGACCATCTGGTTAGATACCTTCTTTTCTTTCCCAAATCCTCTTCTGTAGGCAAACATTTATTTAGTTAAGATTTTAATAATCTAGCACATTATGTAGAAATCTATTTCCAGGTATTTGCCTGAAGTATCTACTATCTATCTATTAGTATATTGTATATATTGTATATACAATATATTGTATTTATTTTGGATAAATATACAATATTTATCCAAGATATTGTATATTTTGAATAACCTTTTTTGCATGCTTGTTCATGACATACCGGATTAAAATTGGTATGCTAATGCTATTCAGAAAGGAAAAACTTGAACTAAAAGGTTTGAATGACTGACAGGATGTTCTAGTCGCGGTTTGAGCGTCTTTTTAAACCAGAGCAGATTAAAGGTTGGTAAAAAAAAAAAAAAAAAATGGACGGACTAGCCCTTTAGATATTTACTGAATGGGAAGCTGCATTTAGCAGCCATTAGCTTCATATACAAAACAAAGTCAGAGTTAAAGGCTATCTGTGTGAAGGTATCATGATCAAATTAATTACATGCCGCTTTGGACGAGTGTAGAAAAACAACAGAGAGACAGAGAGAACTATGCAGGCTGCAGGGAGACACGCTCGTTTGTTTCAGGCTATATACTGTAGTATTTTCTGCCAGCCGCAAGTGACCAATGTCCGGTATTATTTGTTTCTCACAGGAGCATTATTTCACCTGACTTGCGGCTGGCAAAAAAGACTACAGTATATATGCTAAAACGAACGAGCTTGCATAATGTGTGTGATACAGCCCCTGTGTAAGCCGGACAGAGAGAACTTCCGGGTCAGAGGTGAAATTAACAGCTCGCTTTCCTTTTTATTTTTGCAATTGCCGTTTTTCTAATTTTGTTTTAAAAACGGAATAAAAAAAAAAACACATGGTTGTTTTGTTTTACCAATTTTATTTTGAAACGAAAAAACCAAAGAACGAACCATACACGGATTACGGACCTGAGTCTATTTCCGTTTTCTCATTTTCCATTTCAAACGAAAAAACGAACTGCCT